AAATATATAGAAACTCATCATCATAAAACAACTTTTATTTCTTTTCCAGATATTTCTACCCACCATTTCTTGGTTTTATTGGACGAATTGATATGAAATACTTTTGTTTTATACCTGTCTAGTGGGTGGGATGGAACCTTTGTATATTGTTGGAGTTAAGGGCACATTAATGGTGGTATTGGTGTTGAAAACAACTCTATTATGGACAACTTTGTAAACCACGGTGTATCAATAAACATTCCTGGGGTAAAAAGAAAGAGAACGTTTGCAATACAAGGAGCTCGGGGGGCAGGGGATAGAGTAGGGAAGATACCTGGAAACAATAATGAAGATACCGATTAGAAGAATATATGAGATACCACAAAAACTGTGTTGAAAATTAAGTTCACAATAATACAAGCATTCATCAGGAAACAAAAAGGGCCCCCCAAAAGTAACCCAACTGCAAGAGAAGTAATTCTTGATTATAGGGCCAGAAACACCAGAATGTGAGGAAGGGGAGGAAGATGAGAAGAAGAAGGAGGAGAGGGTGGAGAAGGAGTAGGATGATGAGGAGGAGAAGGAAGGGGCAGAAGAAGAAAATAGGATGAGAACATATTCTGGTCTCTCAAAGAGGAATAGAAAGAGCTATGTTTGGAGTATCACATTTCACTCAAAGGAGAGAAAGAATCTGGAGTTCCGACCTCCATTGATGGTCAAGAATCAGGGATGCTGTCTCGTTTGCCAAGGTGTTGAAAATCAGATGGGCTGGACATGTAATGAGATTTAGAGACAACTGCTGGACTAGAGCCGTTACCAACTGGATTTTTTTTTCTTTTTTTTTTTATACGAGAATGAAGATTAAAAAAAAAAACCTGACCACAGATAGATGTTATTTCAAAGCAAAACAAAATAGAAAACCCAAATTCAAGGAGTTAGAAGAAAACAAAGATGAGAACTACAGGAGTACGAAGGATGGAGCGATAGCACAGCGGGTAGGGCGTTCGCCTTACAAGCGGCCAACATGGCCGACCCGAGTTCGATTCCTCCGCCCCTCTCGGAGAGCCCGGCAAGCTACCGAGAGTATTCGATATGCCAGACACAGTAACAACAAAGTCTCCAATGGAGACGTTACTGGGCCCGCTCGAGCTAGAAAGTAAAAAAAAAAATGTTAGAAATCAGCTCATCTTCGAGAAGGGCAATGGAGAAGATTATCCATGACTTCTACTTGTATCTCTTCGATAACCACGTCCACCTGCCTACATACCAAATTCTGCAGAATGGATATGTCATTCCGAACGTTCTCCCTTCCGAAATCCGACACACAATTTCATCGGTAAAGAAGCTAAACAGCACGGGGCACAGACAAAGTCAGACCCAAACACCTGAAGAACCTGCCATCAGTACTCATCAATACACTGACTTGGCTCTTCACATGCTACCTGTCTGAATGCAAGGTTCCGTCCCAATGGAAAACCAGCAGGACTGTACTACAGTACAAGAAGGGAAACATCCACGACATTGGCAACTATCTCCCTCTCTGCCTTTTGTCTTTTGTCTACAAGCTGTTCACTCGAGTCATCCTGAATAGGATTGGCAGAACACTAGATAAAGGACAACCATGCGAGCAAGCCAGGTTCCGCAAAGGATTCAGCATGATCGACCATATCCACACAATAACCAAACTCATAGAGGTTTCTCAGGAGTTCAAGATGCCTCTCTCTCTAACATTCATTGATTTAAAGAAGGCCTTTGATAGTGTTGAGACTATAACCAACAGGGCGTTCAAACTCAATAAATCAGAATCTTCCAAGAGCTGTATTAAGGATTCGCTACCAGGATCTAACCATTCTACAAGGAAGTGATCATCCATGTCAAGAGAGGGGTTGGGCAGGGTGATACCATTTCACCAAAACTCTTCAGTGCCACCCTCGAGAACTGAGAACGTCATGCGACGACTGGACTGGGAAGGAATGGGAGTGAAGTTAGACGGTTGGCAACTACACCATCTCCACTTTGCTGATGACATCGTTCTAATTACACCAAACATTAGCAAAGTCGCACACATGCTGGCCAACTTCAACCGTGAGTACGGAAAGATTGGACTACAGCTGAATCTCACCAAGACAATGGTTATAAGAAACAGTCTTGTTCTTTGTGTTCCATTCACACTCAGGGTACTGAACGTCAATGAATGCAACAGTTATGTGTACCTATGCCAAGAAGTCAACATGACAAATGACCTGGCACCTAAACTTCAAAGGAGGAAGAGAGCAGCTTGGAACACCTTCAAGAGCATTGAAGATATAGCTAAGAGGAAGAAGAACCTCTGGCTCTGGGCACATCTCTTCGATTCCACTGTTCTTCCTGCATTAGCATATGCCTCAGAGACCTGGGCCCTATGAAAACAGGATGAGGGTGCAATTTGGGTTTCCCAAAGAGGAATCAAAGAGCTATGCTTGGGGTATCATGCTTCACTCAAATGAGAGAAAGATTCCGGAGTTCCGTCCTCCATCACCAGATTTGTATCGGGGACGCTGTCTCGTTTGCCAAGGCATCGAAAATAAGATGGGCTGGACATGTAATGAGATTTGGAGAAGACCGCTGGACTAGAGCCATTACGGACTGGATTTTAAGGGTCGTCAAAAGATTGCGTGGCCTCCCACCTATGAGATGGTCAGACCTCTACGCCAAGACCCTAAATGATCGGTTTGTGGCTCTTCGTGTTACTAGAATGAGCAGACGCCATTGGGCTACATTGGCACACGACAGGGACGAATGGAGACATTACTGGCACCCGCTAGAGCAAATGGATGAGAAAAGAGATGTCAAGTGATCATGTGATTGACTGCTTCTATGAATTTTGGTAATGTCATTTGATGCCACCAGGGGGCAGTGAGGGCCTGTATTCTGGTACTATCATTACTGTCCTTTACAGGAAATAAACTCAAAAGTCTCAAGAATTGCTTCTCACCAAGTTTTTTTCAAGGGAAATAAGAAAGGACTGTCCCAAATCGTCCGTGTTTTCTTGATTCCAGCGACACAGAAGAAAAAACCGGAAGTTCACTCTTACTTCAAATGGTCTTGCCTCCCCTGTTTGCCTTCTGTGACCCACATTTTAAGGATTCAAAATAGTTTTGTTTGTATGTTCTTGGAGATTATACCTGAATTAAGGGATGTGTGTGTGTGGCATCTGGATCATACTCAGCACCGGTGGAGGTACCAGGGATTGAATGCCAAGCAGGCATTCTTCCTCTGAATGGTCCTCATTGTTTTTGGGATTGGGATTGGAAGTGGAAGAAAGATAACTTATTAAATAATTCATTAAATTTCCCTTACATGTTAACAACCAAATAGCTCAGCAAACTTGAAAATGTTGCTTGAAGGCCGAGTAGAACACCCAAAGGAGACATCATTTGGAGAAGCTAAGGATGATTCTAGAAAGCAGGTAAGTGCATTGAATTGAACCATTCATTTTTGTGGCACTTTTATCCACACATCATTTCTAACTAACAGTTGGCGCAGGCATATCCTATATAAATGAGGAAATTCAGTGACAAGAGACTTAAAGACTGAGCACACATTTTGGCATCCTGTTAGGTTTGAGAAAATAAGAATTGTAATTCATGGTCTGCTAACAAAGAAGGAAACCCAAGCCTAGTCATAAGTTGCAGAAAAAGATGGGAATCAAACATTATTTTTAGAAACATCTAGATGAAATAGTAACCACAGTAACCCAAAGAGGACTTATAAGCATATAGTATTTACACATAGAAATTGGATCACATATCTATGAATGTATTGATCTAGAAGAAAACCACCCAAGAAGTTTGAAAAATATTGCTTGTGGCCTACTCACAAATAAAAGAAAAATTGGAAAAAGGTTCTTGGATAATATCACTGTTCATAAATACCGCACTGTACAGATAGATTTGCAGAAAAATCAAGCCTGTGCTTTCTCTGTCTCTCAGATTACTATCTCCATGTAACATCTACTGTGGGATACAAAATTCAGATTTGACCCTGGCTAAATATCAAAGTAGGATAAAATAAAGTTCAAGTTGAATAATTCAAAGAGATCTAAAGAGAAACAGAGATAAAAACCTATTGTTCCTGGCAAGTGCTCTTATTTGCTGAAAGGACTCCCTCCCTGCTATGTGTGGGTGGGTAATCTGGGAGTGACAATCTGCTTCTGGGACTCAGGACAACAGATGCATCAGCACAAACATGTGTGGTCGGAGTGCTGACAAGTATGCACCTGAGAGACTCACCACCAAAAGGTAACCATCAAGAGCAGGAGTTTACACAAAAGGTAACTTAACTTTGCCAATGTTAGAGAAAATCTGAAACATGGGCATCCACAAGAGGGCATTTCCTGGAGTAACACTGTATTGAGTGATCACTGAGGCAGTCACATCACAAGCAAAGTCCCAGAAGATTAGGAAGGTCGTGAATGCATGAGATGTCAGCACATTTATTTTTCTCTTCAAATTAGGTATTAAAGGTTTGTATGAGAAAAATTTATATCAAGGAGAAATAATTTGTTAATTTTTTAATGAAATAATTTGTCTGTTAATTAATTAATCAGAATTAATCTGTTTCAATCTCTGGTACCTATCACTCTACTGGGTCTGGCCTTGGGGTCCTGAGCGCCACCGTTGTGGCCCTGATGGTCCACAGCACCATACAGTGTACTTGGTCCACAGCAAGACTCAGCCCGGGCATTGAACTACCAGCCTTGTTATCAGAGTATCACTGGGAATATCACGCCATGCCCCCATCAGTGCCAAATTAAGATAAGAAGTCAAGAGAAATAAACACAAATCATTATGATTTTTTAAAGTAATGCAGAATCATCTGGAGTCCAAGGCCAGGCCAGAGAGGGGTGAGCAGAGCCAGGTGCAGGAAGCAGCTTTGCATGCAGACCCCTCCCTTCTCTGGGGCAGGGGAGGGATAAGAGCTGGGAGAGAGCCAGGCCCAGGGTTGGGGTGTCAGCAGGCAGCACTCTGGGCAGCTCCATCATGACCTGGGCTCTTCTCCTCCTCAGCCTCCTCAGTCAGGGCCCAGGTGAGGTTTTGGAAAGGGACTGGGCACATCTGGATTCACTTCACCCTTTGTCTCCCTTCCTCAGGTTCATTCAGAACTAGCCTGAATTCACCAGTGTATTGTTTCTCTTTCTTCAGGAACCTGGGCCCAAAATGTCCTAACTCAACCTCCCTCAGTGTCTGGGACTCAGGGACAGACAGTCACCATTTCCTGTACAGGAACCAGCGATTACATTGGGGGATATAATGCTGTCTCCTGGTACCAGCAGCAGGATGGCACAGCCCCTCAAACTGCTGATTTATTATTTCAACAATCAGGCAACAGGGATCCCTGATCGCTTCTCTGGCTCCAAGTCTGGCAACACAGCGACCCTGACCATCTCTGGGCTCAAGCCTGAGGATGAGGCAGATTATTACTGTAGCTCATTTACAAGTAGTAGCACTTTCCACAGTAGCTGCTGTACACAGGGTAGTGAACCAAAAACCGCTGAAAGTTCCCTTGAGGTCCTTCTCTCCGAAACTTGGAGGGCATTTTTTACTTAATGATTTTAAGTTGAAATGAACGAATAAATTTTAAAGACATTAGCACAGTGGTAGGGTGTTCGCCTTACAAGCGGCCAACATGGCCGGCCCGAGTTCAATTCCTCCGCCCCTCTCGGAGAGCCCGGCAAGCTACCGAGAGTATTCGATATGCCAGACACAGTAACAACAAAGTCTCCAATGGAGACGTTACTGGGCCTGCTCGAGCAAATCGACGATCAACGGGAGGGTCTTTACTTTACTTTACTTTACTTTACTGAATTCATATAGGTTTTTCTTTTAAATTTTTTTTTTTTTTTTGCTTTTTGGGTCACACCCAGCGTTGCTCAGGGGTTATTCCTGGCTCTGCACTCAGGAATTATTCTTGGCGGTGCTTGGGGGACCATATGGGAGGCCGGGGATTGAACCCAAGCCGGCCACGTGCAAGGCAAACGACCTACCCTCTGTGCTATCACTCCGGCCCCTTAAAAAATATTTTTAATTTAGTTTTTTTAAAGTTGTTCACAATAATTCATTGCATTTAATATTCTAATACCAATCCCACTGCCTTTGTACCTTCCCACCACCATATTCCAAATATTTCCACCTCAAATGTCAAACCATGCACCCAAAAAAGAACATAAATAATTAATTTTGCAATGCTTGATTTCAATAATCCACTAAATATGGTCCAATGATGTTTCTTTAGAGCAAAGTGTGTGAAGATTGTTGTATTTCGTCCTAGACCCATTAAGTCCTTGTATAAGAGATTATCAACATGTGTTTTTAATGGTTTTAGCCTTGTTTGTGTGCATATGTATAAATATACATATACATATATATATGACATTGGGTGACTATTACTTCTACTTTAAGCCCCATCATGTATTGTGTGCTACTCCTTGTACAACAGTGGTGTAGCGTATAGAGGGTCGCACAGCCACATTCACTCCAGGAATCCTAAAATTCAGAATAAAATTGTACAGCAGATTCACTCTCTGAGCCTCTGGAGAGCAGCCAGGAGCAGGTGGTGATTGAGTTCTAGAGGTTTTTGGCTGTTGGAACTCTGTGGGGGTGGGTGGGAAACTCACCTGCCACACTCTGAGTTGCCCTGATTAAGACAGCCTGGCCCAGGATCTGTAGGCATCTCTTAGCATGTTCTATGTTACTCTCTTCTGGGAGATTTATTTCTGACACTCTGGATCATGGCTGTTGATGAGATTACATGACATCACAGGGCAGTTTGTGGGTATGACCCTCTTTTTTAACAAATCTTAAAAGATTTTTAATTTATTTTAATGTAGACAAAACCCACAACTGTTATACAATTCTAGAGTTAAAGGGCTAGAGCAATAGTACAGCGGGTAGGGCATTTGCCTTGCATGCAGCCGACTTGGGTTACATTTCTCCGTCCCTCTTGGAGAGCCCAGAAAGCTACCGAGTGTATAACACCCGAACGGCAGAGCCTGGCAACACCCATGGCATATTCGATATGCTAAAAAACAGCAACAACAACTCTCACAGTGGAGATGTTACTGGTGCCTGCTTGAACATATCGATGAATAATGGGAGGACAGTGCTACAGTGCTAGAGTTAAAATTGATTAGATAACAAATTTTCAATATTAATTTGAATAAGTATAAAATCTATTTTACATAAAATTTGTTATATATTTAATCATGGGTTGTTAAATCCTTATCAAGAAATTTACTACGTTGTTTGTTGCTATTAGGCGTTCTGTGTATATTGCTTTTGATTGTTGAGTTTAGTTGGTTTCTATGTTTCTTTCCCATATAATTTGTTGTGCTCATACTGGAATTTCAGTATTGAGTAATTAGAAGGTGTTGTGGGGCTTAGAGACTTCAGGATCTATTGTCTGGGTCAATGAGTTGATATGGTGGCACATATGGGAGATGGGTTTGAATGTCGGGGCAAGTGTGAGAAGAGACTACCCATACTGACTCCGAGAAGACCCCAGAGTTCTCAGCCTGGGCACTTGTGTGCCTGAAATTATTTTCGGTTTCTTGTAGTTTGGGATCTCTGCAGAGAGTATTAGGGAAGTGGTGAAGTTGAACACTTGGTGTGACTGCAGCAGAGGGCTGTTGATGAGGCTGCCTAGACCTGCCCACGTCTCAAGGGCATCCCAGAGTTTTATGCTGCAGGGACTGATGTTTCCATGAATTTTTTCTGCAAAGTGTGCATCTCCTCAGAGACTTAATCATAAATCAGTATAGCAGGGCTGGTGGGTGAATCAATATGGTAGCAGCTGTGGGAGTGGGCCTTCCTGTAAACTTTCTATTGACCAATTTAAACAATTTGCTATATTCGCTGTTTGTTATATATTTAACTATTTCAATAACTTTATATATCAGCAAGCCCAAAATTAAGTTATGAATATTTTAGAAATTAGTATCTGACTTCACATAAGTTTGGGTACTTTTTTCTGTAGAATTTATATTCTATAGTCTCAACATTTAAGGAATATAACTCAGTAGATTTCCTATATCCACAGAATTTCCTACATTATATCATTTTTATATATTCTTATATATTTTATATATTCTTATATTCATTATATTCTTATATCATTTTTCTATAAGGTTTTTATCATCCTAAATAAATACATTGAACATCTCCAGTACTACCTGTTTGATCCCCTCCTTAGCATTTCACCATCTGCAAATCTTTACTCACTATCAATGCACTTGCTTCATCTGATTTCATGTTGATAGTTTCATAAAGGAGTGACTGTGTTAGATGTCTCTTAGCTCTCACAAAGACTTCAAGATCATTCATCTAGTAACATGTATCATTAATACCTTATCCCTAGTTATGAATATGTGATGTTTAATTTCATAATTAGAATTATTTTTGTTAAACCATTAATCCATTGCTAAATTAGCCAATATTTTAAATATCAGTTAACATGTGTTCTCAAATTTCACAGGTAGCATGACACTTTCAAATGTAGAAGAGTTATATATTTGGCTCATATTACTATCTTTGACAAAATAAATACCGACAATTAATGAAATTATATTTTCATTCTCTTCTAGAGAAGAATAATCAATACTGATTAGAGTGTTTCTCAAACCCATCTCTTTCTAGGAAAAAAAAAAACACAGCTGGATAACATGCTTTTGCAGATCCAGAATATTTCACCTTAAACAACTTGGCGGAAAGATTGTCTCAAGGTGGTAAATAGTAGGCACAACAGAAAAGCTACGTGTGCCTTGTGACAGACAGTGAGAGGGGAGGTACTTCGAAATGGTCCTTCTTTCTATCCTGAGTCCACTCTCTTTCGATAGCACAGCGGTAGGACGTTCGCCTTACAAGCGGCCAACATGGCCGACCCGAGTTCGATTCCTCCGCCCCTCTCGGAGAGCCCGGCAAGCTACCGAGAGTATTCGATATGCCAGACACAGTAACAACAAAGTCTCCAATGGAGACGTTACTGGGCCTGCTCGAGCAAATCGACGATCAACGGGAGGGCCATCTTTCTTCTTCTTTCTTCTAAAAGTAAGGGTTTCCCCATACTTTCATTACATTGTGTTTTGACTACTGTATTATACCTCTTTCATAGATATCTTCTGTTTCAGTTTTATTTATTTACTTATTTTTTAGAAATCAATCTATCCTCTCCTCACCCCATTATTATTGAATCCAACCTCCTTTTTCTTCAATTTCTTAGCTTTTTAACTGAATCACTGTGAATAGAATATTACAAAGCTGTTAATGATTGGATATCAGTTATAAAGTATTCCAACACCCATCCTTCCACCATGTGCATATCCCAGGCCAGTGTCCCCAAGTTCCCTCCCATCACCACACACCCTACACCCCATGCCTGCTTCTATGGCAGGCACTCTTCTCTCTGTCTCTCTGTCTTTGTTTCTCTCTCTCTGTCTCACTGCCTTTCTCACTCTCTTTGGATATTGTGGTTTGCAATACTGATACCAAACAGTTACCAAGAATCTCCCTTACCTACTTTTAACCCTCAAATCTTGTCCAGCATAATCATTCTCAGGCATTATTGTCATGATGGTCACCTCTATCTTACCTACCGTTACACCACACTCACTTGTGGTTAGTTCCAACCATTGGCCAGTATTCCTAATCCCTGTTTTCCCTAGCCATGAGATTATTCTAATATATATGTATATATCTGCATATGTATATATACTTTATTGTTCGTCGATTGCCTCAAGCAGGCCCCAGTAATGTCTCCTTCATCCTAGCCCTGAGATTTTTTTTAAAGTGCCATATTAAAATCTCTTCAAGGGTTAGGAGTATGAGACACATCATTGTTACTGGTATTTGGCATATTGGGTACACCACGGGGAGTTTGCCAGACTCTGCTGTGTGGAGGGTTACATTCGGTAGCCTGCCATTTTGTCCAAAGTAAGAATGAGATAATAAGATGTCTTGCAGCATTAGTGGTCACGCTTCCTGGAGCTGGGTTTTATAGTCTCTGGGTCTTGACTGTTGATGGGATTACACGGCGCCGAGGGCCAGTTGGTGGGTGTGACCCCGCCTACTGGAATTTGGAGGATCTGGGTGGAGGATGCTTAGCCCCAATCCGAGTAGGCTTGGAGATCTCAGCCCCGGGACCCGCATGCCTTTGTTCCTCTGCCAGTACCTTCATGTGTGCGGAGAGTGGTCTCAGCATGATGGTCGCTGGTTCTAGAGGTCTTCGGCTTCCGCAGCCCTGGTCGGGGTGGTGAGGAAAGCTCAATCCGCTCCCCTCCAAGGAGCTCCGGCAAGTACAGCCAGGCGCGGGGGCAGGAGACTCAGAGCTGTTCTCTTCTGGGAGCTGGGTTTCATAGTCTCTGGGTCTTGGCTCTTGATGGGATTACACAATGCCAGGGGGCCAGTGGGTGGATGTGACCCCTGCATATATACTTTATACACCAGAAATAAATGTAGTCATTCTATATTTGTCCTTTTACTTGTGACTAATTTCAATAAGCATGACACATTTCATGTTCATTTATATATAGGCAAAATTCTATCTCTGAACCCCT